ATGTAGAATATGGTAACTAAAATATAATACATAAAGCATATGTACATTAGATATGACATATATGAAAAATAGTTAACAAAATACATTAAACAGCATATAAATGCATGTATCTTAGCTACATAATAAACCATGTTTGTACTGAAATTTTATTAATCTGCTACTCAGATTTTTAAAAGGTACTTTCTTCAGATTTCTTCCCTATTCTTGAACTTAAGTTTGCACAAATCCTTTTTTTAAGTGTGTGTGTACACACTTATTTTATATATAAATATATAGCTAACATGCATATACATTTTCAATCCAGGACTTTTAGTCTTTTCCTTAAGTAGAAGTCAGAATATGTAACATTTTTCTCTCTTAAATATTCATTTTACCTGCAACTTTATTGTGCAAGTAAAATGGTATTGTGCGTCCTGTGCATTTGCTGTAAAGTGTAAGCATTTCCAATATCCTGCCACCAAATACTCCAGCTTACTTAGAAAAATGGAATATTGTGAGTGAAGCCAAGTGCTGCTCTGGGACTTGTGTCTAAGTTCCCGTCCCTTACATCTGACTGGGATTCCTGACTGACATTTTAATACTTTGCTTTTAGAAGGAACACCTGCCTGACAACTCATATGGGCCTGGCATTTCTTCCTACATTTATTACAGATATTTTTACTAGTGTGAGATTATTTGCATTGCAGTTTTTTTAAGGGATGAATGCTCTCTCCACTCAAGCAGAACTGTGGGTTTGTTAAGGGTACTCAGGTTCGTGGTTTTTGTGCTGGGAGCTCAAAAAATACCTCTGAAATTCCACTGAACTCTGCATTAAAAGAAGGAATGTCAGGAACTGATGCCTTGAGAAGAGTATAGTTTTTTTAAAAAAAACTTTTCCAGAACAATGTTTTTGCATTTTAATGAACCATAAGATTAAGGGAGGGGGGAAAACCCTTTTTTCCTTTTTGGAGGTTGTCTTCAGCACAATGGTATTGTTCTTTTAATTATTATTCTGATCTTTGTCTGGATACAACTGGTCACTGCTTCCATTCTTGCAAAAACAGGACAAGAAGTAGGTGAACAGTTTCATACAAGCTGCTCTGAAGTTTTGTACCCACAAAAATATCAAAAAGTTTTCATATTTTATCTTAATTTTCTGTTACATCCATCAAAAAGTTAAAAAATACATCTAACAGCAAATGCAGGCTGAAGAAAACTGTTCCCACAGCTACATGCTGCATGAGAAATTGAATACTTATATGCAGTGAATATTTAACATTCACATTAATTTCACCAGACTGTCTTCGTTTGTTAAAGAGGTTTTGCTTGGGTGATATAACAAGTTTAAATTAAAGATTCTCCCTTAAACTCATGTACAGCCAGTCTTAGTAAATACCTTATTTAATGTGGCCTTGAGGAGGGAAATTTTCTGTTGGCTCTTTAAATGGAGATTGATTAAGCCCCAAAGATTTTTGAGCTTTCACCAGCATTGCATCAGCAGCCATGCAGCTCCACAGGGAGAACTAGAACAGACTGCCCACAAGCATTTTCTCCATGGTGTGGAATGCAGCTTCACAGTTGTTCTTCTGGCAGCATGGACTGAACCCAGAACCTCTGAGGGTCAAAGTGCAAGTGTGAGGAGGCTGCACTGCAAGATCACTGCCCTGGACTTCAGGAGAGCAGACTTTGGCTCTTAAGGGATCTGCTTGGTAGAACACCATGGGATAAAGCCCTGGAGAGAAGAGGGGTCCAAGAAAGCTGGTTGATACTCAAGGATCATCTCCTCCAAACTCGGGAGAAATGCATCCCGAAAAAAGAGGAAATGAGGTAAAAAAGCCAGGAAGCCTGCATGGATGAACAAGAAGCTCTTGAACAAGCACAAAAAATAAGTCAATGAGGATGGAGGAAAGAACAGGTAGTCTGGTATACACAGAAATCGTGTATATACACAGGAATACACAGAAATTGTTCTCATCAGCATCGTGCGAGCAGACAGGGATTAGGTGAGGAAAGCTAAAGCCCTGATAGAATTAAATCTGGTCAGGGACATCAAGGGCACCAAGAATAGCTTCCAAACTTATGTGGCTGATTAGAAAGAAAGATTAGGGAAACTATGAGCCATGTCTGGAAGGAAACATTAGACCTGGTTACTCAGGTTACAGAGAAGGCTGCGTTACTCACTTTTTTTTCCACTGGTTTTCACCAACAAGTGCTCCAGCCACACTGGCTGGGTCACAGAAGGCAAAGGCAGGGATTGGGAAAATGAAGAGCTGTGCACTGTAGAAGATCAGGTTCAAGTACATCTAAGCGACCTGAAGGTGCAAAGGCCTGTGGAATCTGATGAGATGCATTTGCAGGTCCTGAGGGAAGTGGTGGATGAAGTGGCTGAGCCACTATCAATCATATTTGAGCAGTCACAGCAGTCCAGTGAAATTCCCAGTGACTGGAAAAGGGGAAACACAACCCCCATCTCTAAAAAGGGAAAAAAGGAAGACCTGGAGAACTACAGACCAATCGGTCTCACCTCTGTGCCCAGCAAGGTCACGGCCGCAGATCCTTATGGAAACTGTGCTAAGGCACATGGAAAACATGGAAGTGATTGGGACAGCCAACATGCCTTCACTGAGGGCAAATAATGCCTGGCAAATTTGGTGGTGTTACAGCATTAGTGGACAAGGGGACAGGAACTCACATCTACATGGATCTGTGCAAAGCATTTGACACTGTCCCACATGACATCCTTGGACACCCAGAGAGTGGAGGGACCACTCAGTGGATAAGGAAGGAGCTGGATGGTCACACTCAAAGTGTTGTGGTCAACAGCTTGATGTCCAATTGGAGAGTGACAAATGACATTCCTCCAGGGCTTTGGGACTGCCCCTGTTTAATGTGGACAGTGGGACCAAGCGCACCCCAGCAAGTTTGCTGGTGACACCAAGATATGTGGAGCAGTCAGCATGCTGGAGGGAAGGGATGCCATCCAGAGGGACCTGGACAGGCTATTGATGTCAACGCTGGACATGGGTAAGAGCAGCAAAAGCCCATCTGTCTTGTCTGCATCTGTTCCCTCTGGTTTGCAGACAGCAGCAGGGAGTGGTTAGCTGTTACAAATGAGCCGGGCTTAGAGAGAGAAGAGCAGCAACAGCAGGAGAAAGACACCAGTTTGGGAGGTAAATAAAGTCAGACAAATCATTTGTTGCTCTGTGCCTGTAGTGTGGGATAAATAACAGTCTCCTTTGAAACACTGTCTCCTTTGCTATGTGGAAGCAAGATGACCTTTTTCTTTCTTTCTTTCTTTCTTTGTTGTCCTCCATGAAGTCAGTTACTCAACCTGAAATCCAGGGACTAGTGTGCTACAAGGATGAGAAATTCTGCCTGTGTTTCCTCGAGGTTCTGGGCTCTTCATTACAAGAGATGCTGGTGAGCTGAAGGCAGTGAAAGAGGCTACTGTGGTAATTTCAAAAGGAAAGGAATCACTTGTGTGAGGAACAACTAGTTTTTGTACAGATTGTCTGTTGCTGGAATATTTAGCCCTATGTTTATTATTATTTGGTTAGCTCAATTCTGATGTGCCACTTAGTATTTTAGGGAAAAATGCCTGTATGACAAACTCATTGGTGTTTTGTAGGTTAAATGGCAACTTTGAAGCTGTCTTCAGAAATACTGTTGTGTGCCATGAAAGAGGGTCTTAAATGTTTTTAATCTATATTTTCAGGAGATACTTCTGCTAAAATGACTGCATTCTCAAAGTTAATTTGGGAGTCTTGGGGTGTTGGAGAGAGAAGCTCTCCTCTTCGTAAGTGTCAAGTAATACTGAGAAAGCTCCGTAGCTAGGGGATGGGATTTCACTTTATAGCTTATTGTCCTGCTACATCATGCGTTTTAAAACCCAGATTCTGCAAAATGCAAACATCTCTTAAATACTGTGGTTATATATTCTTTACATTATTAATGATCAAAGGTAGAAATTAACTTTTGATATCAAAATTCAGGCATCTAATCTAAGGTATTTTTCCCTAGCTGCAGTTTCCAGCCTTATGTCCTTTTTCCACATTTCCCCATGACAACAAATCTCAGGGCAAAGATAATGCCCCTAAATACTGTCCAGTGCAGGATACTAACAGGAGGCTGTAAAGATCTCTACAAACACACCATATGGCCACAGGGGAACATTTAATCATCAGGTTTCATCTACAAAGCATAGTTGTTTTTTTTTTTCAATTTATTCTCAAAATATGAGAGCCAAGACCAGATTTGAACTGAGGTATGAAAATGACTGTTCTGTTAAACTAACTCCAAGAATGCCACAAGAAACTGAAAACTGGCTTAACAGTGTCTCTTATCTAGTACTTTGAGAACTATTCAATTAGAAAAGGAAGACTCTGTATGAGGTTAAACACAGCTGTTATCATGGATATTAAAAACATGTTTTCTCTCATTTAAAATGGAATCAAATAATTTATATTTTGATGGTGATTTTTACATAGAACTCATTATTCTATTCACACTTTCTGCTGTGATAAACACATGTCTTTGGACAATATAGGGCATACTATATTCTGCTTCCTTACATTTTTGTTTGTTTAAAAAATACCTTTTCCAAGGCAGTAAATCTTACCATACCAGTGTAATCTGCAGTCTAGAACCTGGTGGCTTGGTTGACATAAAATATATAAAGCTTTTCTCTAAAATTAAAGAAAAATTAGTACAACAGAAAACAATTTTACCTCTTCATAACAGCTTCCCATATGAAAGCTCATTCTGCACGTGCCTGTGTTTTAAAAATATAGGGATCTTTTCAATTGTTGTGTGGCACAATATGACATATATATTATCTTTTTTTTCTTAAACCTTATCATGGCATGAATTTTTTCAAAATCCTACTGAACTTGGATTTGGTTTGTTTTTAAAAAAAGAGTTTTAGTTACCAGCCATCTGCAACTATGGCTTCAGGGGTGTGTGGTTGTCCAGAACTCCTAATTATGCCTGTCATTCCAACAGACTGGCATTATTTTCTACTGCAGCACTTCTGCTGAGATCTCCAGAGAGAAATCCTTGTTGGTTCTGGTCTTGGTACAACGTCATGGAACTGTCATGCTATGCTGTGTTTTGAGGGTGCATCCATCTCTACAAATGGATTCTTCAGTGTTGCACCTGCAATATAAGCAAAAACAATTTAAATGTTCACGTGTTTGTTCCAGGTTTTTATTTAAAATATATTGGCGAGTGAAGGAAGGAAAATAACTAAAACCAGAAATAAAAACTAGCTGCCACCAGAATGTAACCAGAGTCAGATTAGCCATGACATAAGAATTTCCTGTTGTTTAGACAAACTAGTCAAGAGTAGCTTGTCAACTGTATACCATATGCCATCTGCATCTTCCTGCAAGTGTTTTTTCAGCAGGAGTTTTGTCATTAGGCATCCGAATTTTCATGAGATAAGTAAAGCAATTCCCAAAACCCTCACTATTTCTAAAAAGGTGGTCATAGTTTTTTTGTGATTCTTTCCAGTGATGCAGTGTAATGGTTTCCCAGTCTTTTTGCAGAGGAACCTCACTTAAAGGACTGAAGGTAGAAAGCTACAATCAGTTTTGTTTTGCTTTAATATTGTCTTAATAATCTAATATTTAATATAATTTAATATTTTCATTGCCCCTCCTACCCAGCCCACACCTCTCAGCTTTCCCTTTCTTGGTTGTTGTCCTGTTCTTTTCCTGTGACATATCTGTCTCTGCTGCTGTCACAGGCAGCAGTGGCACTAAAACAGAGCAAATGCATTTGGACAGCTGTCTTAGTTTAGGGCAAATTAGGAAGGAAAACTCCAAATGGGGATTTCCCCAGGGAAATGCCCCTCCCCACTAATTGGTCCGGGAAAAGGAAAAAATTCCTTAGAGAGAAGTGGAAAAAGCTGTTTATTTAACAGAAATTGAGTAATATTAAATAATAATAAAACCTCTTGCTGTTCGATGGGATGGCAAGTCTAGGAAGAAAAGTCCTTTTCATGTGGTGTAGCTCGGCTCGCTCAGGTTCTTATCAGTCCCTCCGGCGCTGGAAAGTGCTGAGGCCCAGGCCCCGGTGGGCCACAGGCGTGAGCTCCCGGGGTTTAGCTGGGTGTTCAGTCCAGAGCAGGCTTGCACAGATCCAAGAAAATTGGGAAAAAACCAAACAAAGGTCCAGGGAACTCCTCTGCCTCAGCTAGCTAGAACTAACTAAAAGCCAGAGAGAAGCTGTGTCCCGCTGTCTGTCCGTGCTGCAGACACCACAGTCCAGGAGCGGGATGTGTGGGAGTGATGTTTTTCCTTAACACAAACTGCGCGCTTCTTCTTCCCCCTCTCTTGCTCTCAAAGCCAGTCTTAAAGGTGCAGAACTTAATATATAACATAAACCAGACGACTGGGGATACCAGTATCATAAAGTCACCCCAGGACAACAGCTCAATCTGTTTCTGGTGTCATTTGTGTCCTCTTGCAGGCAGAGTCCTTTTCTTGAGCTCATCTAAATGACTCTCATCATGGGTTGGAAGGCACTAATGTAAAGAAGTCCAGGTTGAATGAGGCAGTAGAGGAAAGAATATGCCTCCTCCTCCCCTGGGTCTTGTTAAGCACCTGCCTAAGGTACTCCTAAAAAATCTGATCAGCTCAGCAGATTCAGACCTCTCTGGTGTATTGGCACTAGCAGGCTCTCCTGGATGCAGTTCAGAGTATGGCTCCTGCTGCACTCTTGATTCCCTTTGTGAGGAGCAGGCACCAGAGCTGTGACTGGGCAGGCAGTGGGGGGCAGCCTGCCTGACGATGTACAGGGGGGAACTTTGTCACCAAAGCCATCTCTGTGTCAGCAGGAGCTCGCTCTTATCCAATTCTCAGTGAAAGCTCTGAAGCATGTAAAATAGGCCTTAGAAATTCAACTGATAAAAGTCACCCCAGAAACCAGAAAAAAATTAAAATGTGCTTAGAGGTGGCTTACTTAAGTCAAAACCAGTTATTGTCCCCTATCTTTACATTTCATGTAACTGGAAATATTAATATAAGACATCTTTAAACTCATTCGATACTCAAGGGGTTATTCTTACTCAGAAACTGATGCTCAGGGCCTCCTGTACACAAGCAGTGTCCCTGGGCAGCAGCAGAAATGACTCCCCAGTTTGTGCCCGGAGCGCTGGGAATTGCTGCATTCCTGCCTGCTCTGCTGACCCAGGCACGCTTCCCAAACAAGGAGGAGGCCTAATCCTTTGAGAATTCCAAACACAAATACTGCAGTGGTATTTGGCAGGCCAGCACAGGAATTTGTGATACTCGTGAGCTTGCTATAGTTTGTTTTCCTTGATGTGGAGGCTGTTTTTCCACGGGTTAGAAGGCACCGCTGGAGCAGTTTCCCCCTCTGGCGCTGCTGCGGATTTTCCCTGCGGAGCCCAAGCACTGACTGGTGGAGCACTGACCCCTCCTTGTGGGGCTGCTGGGTCCCAGCTGCAGCACTTCTACATAAGATGTTGTCATAAATGGAATTGATTGGTGCTAACTAAATTGTAACTGTAGTTAAAGTTGTTCTTAGAAACAATCAAGAAAAATACTCTTACAAGGCAGATGTAACCCTTTGCAGATGTTACATGTCAAAATTGAGGTACAGGATGGAGTTTAGAAGATAAATGGTGTCTCAAGACCAAAACAGCCTTGAGATGGACAAAATTAGAACAAATTTAGGCATTGGGCCTAAAGGTCAGTAAATATAAGGCTAATTAGTAGACTACCATAACACAAGGCTTAGTACACACATGCAAACCTGTAAGGTTATCCAAAGGACAATGAGGAAGAGGAGAAGCCTTCACCAAAAGACCCCCAAAAGAAGACTGAAGACCCCCTAACAACAAGTGGAGCGTGTGCCATGAAGAAAAGTGACGTAAAGTCAGAAAAATCTGAAATAGGAGGAAACTTACAGCAAATATTAATGAATATGTATAAGCATACAGTATATAAGTTTAGCTTGAAGTGCTTTGTTTTGTACATGAGGTGGGGTGAGAAGCCCTCCCCGTACCCCAGTAGGTTTTGCTCATGCCTTAACCATCCTTAATTACTGGCCAACTATATTCACATATATATAGAAATATATATCTGAATATATCTACTAAATTTTACCTTTCTTTACTAAATTATCTTCTTTTACTAAATTGCATTTTTTAATTATTTTGTATCCAATTTATTAAAGTATATTATCAATTAATTAGATTTGATTGTTTGGAAATTTGAAAATCATTTATAACAATGTGTTTTGTGACTGGGCTTTCCATGGCAGGATGGATGAGGCCTGGTCAACTGCAGTGAGGAGTTTATCAGGTAGGCTCACAAGTTGTACAATTTCTACAATTTTTTGCTTAGAGGAAGCGTTTCTTTGCCATGCCAAAGTCATTCAGGATGCTTGCCAAAAGCGAGGGGGTTTGCACCTGAAAGTCCCCATGTAACCTGAATGTTGGCAGCTCCTGAAAAAATCAAAGAGGTTTCAAATATGCCTGGACAACTAATATGAAAATCTGCTAAATGCAAAGACCTTCTTCAGCTGTTTGGATTGCTGTGCTTCCTTCTGTTGAATGTACTCTGCAAAGCTCCCAGAGTGTGCCCTGTCGTCAGAAACGTGTTTCTGCCAGTTTGTTAAAGCAATGTCATTTGCAGATCTCTAAAGCTCCATCTGCTGTGAAAAATATGCCAAAGCTCTGTCACCCTGCTGAAATAAATAAGTGTCATCCATTTTACAATGAAGTAAGTAAAAAATACAAGGTGGTCATGTGGTTATTCAAAATACTACATGTCAGCATCATAGTTGGTAAAGGACAAGGAATTTCTTAATGTGCATTCCCTGCTCTGGGACATGCTGCTTGACAGCCCAGAGGACAAGGACAGCAGACAGTGCAATAATGGCTCTGGTAGCAATTGTGAGAAATGTCTGCCATGCAGATCTTACCTAACCTCAATTGCAGCCAACTCAAAACTCTGGCTGTAATCACTGAAAATCTGAAAACATCTGGGAGCATCTGGGCCTTCACAAGAATACAGAAAGGATTTTGACAGTGCAGCGCTCTGTATTCACGTGTCCTCTTTGCAGTTGTGTCCCTGGGCACAGGTCTGCATTGCTCTGGTCTCAGAAAGTCCAACATGAAGGATTTTAGGGATGTGCCGGTGTCCTGTGCCATGCAGCAGTGTCAGCTGGTGGGCACGAGGTGGCACAGCAGAACAGCAGCAGGGGGAAGAGGAGGAGAGGGCTGCAGCAGGCTCATGGGTAGGTGTGGTAGCTGAATTCTCAGGTCCTGAGTGTGTGTCTGGCAATTGCAGCCTGTAACTTCCGATATCATCATCCCCACTAAGTCCAGTTCTCTCACAGAACACACGACTCTTTAGTATTTCCTAGGCAGCAGCACAGTCATTTAATCTGCAGATTCCCTAAAGTTCATGAGTGAATATCAGCTCAGTCCTTACTGACATTATTAAATGACTCAGTTCCCAAGCTGGTCCTCTTTTATGATGAAGTTTTCATGACATCTCCACTCTACCTGCAAATGAAAACTGTGTGATAGACCCAGTGATGTTCCAACTCTCAGTTCCTTGCTCCTACATTCACATTTGATGTTTTTTCTCCTTTTTTCTCATGTGATTTTTATCAGTTTAATTTATAAGCCTCATTGTACATACTTTGAACACTCAGCCCTCAAGGCCAGAAGGAATGTTTTGCAAGATCAATTGCTTGTGTGCCTAAGGAAATCTGTTTTAAAAATATTTGATGTAGCTTTTGCTAGAGAGAAGAGTGTCTTGGGAGTTATTAATGCCAAGAGCAAGTTAGAATGTAGGGCCACTGTCCCCCTAAGGGCTTGGGATGCAGAATCTTGCATTGTAAGATTTCTCCTTCTCTCATCTGGGACAAAGATACGCCTGTTATGTCAGCCTGAGAATCGAGAGTGATTGGATGAGTGAAGTCGAACATGAACCTATGGACTCTCCAAGCTGGAGAAAAGCCTGCTGATTGCAGCTGAAGAGGAACAGGAGAAGCTGATTCTAGGTCAAGAAGTCAGGCCTGGAAGCTCAGTAGCATCAGTTAAGAATAAAGACTTCAGTGCCCCCACCTCTGCCCCACCACCACAGCCACCCCCACCCCAAACCCCCCCACCAAAAAAA